TAAAGTAACTTGCTTTATGGACACACAGCTAGAAGGGGAGAAACTGAGGTCTGAACCCCAGTCACCTGATGTCAGACCTGTCTCCTTAATCCATCCCATCGCCTGGCAAGGAAGAGACCAATGAGCTCCTGTTTGCCATTCTTTAAAAACTGTACGTCATCCAGCAATTTTTTGAAACATAAATTTACGTTTCCTACAAGATTAAAGATCTGAGTACCCCTCCCCTCAGGGCGTTACCTGGCACGACCACTCAAAACTGCCACCAGCCACCTCTGGACTCTAAAAGCATTCTCTCTTGCGCCCTAGGCACAGTGCCATCCCAGTCTGACTAGCCGTCCAGGGGACCGTGACCATGGTGACCATGACGGAGAGGTAGTGAGGGGCTCTGCCCCCCAAGTGCCTGAAACCCTGCATTACAGAATCATTCCTTTAGGTCTGGAAAGCTTGTCTTGTCTTTACTATTTCCTACCTCGATGGATTTCAATCCAAATAGGAGCTGTATCCTTTTTCCCCAGTCAAAATCTTCGCAACTCCATAAATAAAGTAAATTACATAAATAGGGTAAAAGCTCGTGTAATTCTTCATGCTAGAAAAACACTTATCCTCAGAATACTGAAAACCACTGCTAAAAAGGGGGGGAGGGAGGGGAGGGAGGATGGGAAGCAAACTCACTTTAAGGAAAATGAGCCACAGACTACTATTCAGAAATGGAAAACTTAAAAAAAAATTTTTTTTTAAACCTTTCTTGCTCAGGATTATTTTCTGGATCAGAGTTCAACATTCTCAGCCATTACCTCTTCACATGCTCCTACTACTCTAGTCTCCGTCTCCTAGGATTCCAACCGAATAATGCAGCTTTCTCACTATATCCTCTGTATTTCCTACATCTCTTCAGTGTTTTCCATCTTTTTTCTCTCATACTTCATTCAGGGAGGTTTCTCCTGGTCTTTCAGTTACTTTCTAATTCACTATGAATCAATAGAACCCTTCGTTTCTTTCGGTTCTACTTGTTAGACCCAGTATTTAGCTGGTTCTTTTTCACAGCAGTCTCTATGTAGCATTTAGTTCCCTGCCGAAACGTTTAAATCCAGCTTTTCTGTGCATGAGCTCAATAAACGTGACTTCAGTCTGCTTTTTCTACTATATAAAACGCCCCCTTCCACCACCTGTTGTCTGTGCTGGTTCTTGTTCAGGCTGTCTCCTGGCATGCTGGTGAGTTACATGGATTTGACTGTGGACTAGCTAGACGTGGTATTTGAAAGATCATTGCAGAAATAACTTGAGGCTTAAGAGGACGTTATACTCTAGAGGGGATTTTCATTTGCTTCCCTGAGGTGACTGTGGTCACCAGCAGTCACACTGTCTTAGTCTGATCTGCGCACCTGAGATCTGCTAAGCTCCCCTGAGTGACTTGGGGCCTTCGGTGCAGGGAAGGCTGGCTCTCCATAAGCCTGAGCTCCAGTCTGCAGCCTTCTCACGCAGTGGCATTAGCCATGGCTGGTTCACCAGGAGTCTCGCCACTGGCGATTCCGAGACTCCAGCCGCTGCTCCTCCACCTCGTGAGACTGTCAAGCACACTGCACAGCCTCTCAGCTGCTCTACTCGAACAGCAAACTCAAAGAGGAAGAGCAGCCCGAAGCAAGATGCTCGCCTCTACGGATTTCTGTAATCGAAATTTTAGCCCCATAATTCTTCAGTGTCTTGTATACGCTCATGCATTCCAGAAGCATCGACTGGTTCACACTAGGTTACACAGTCTGGCATTACTAGAAGCACAAGGCCAGAGTTACGTTCTAAACTGTTGCTTTTGTATTTCAAAGTGAACAAGATAGGTATTGCCAAAAAAGAGACCATCGGCAAATAATAACATAACAGAATATTGGGCCTTTTTCGGAAAACTCATTTAATAATGCAATCTGACACCTCAAGAGATTTAGAAAGCTGACAAACCTAACTGATCTCACAAATGGCCAATTTCTAGCCTGGCTCATCCTGTTGAATCGAGCTACAGGAAATCAATACAGCAGACACTGTCATGTGGATGTCCTCTTGAGCCTTACCATCCTGTACAAGACAAATATCATATAATTTCACTGATATGTGGAATCTAAAGAACAAAACAAACAAAACAGAGACGAACTCAGAGATACAACGAACAAACTGGTGACCAGATGGGACGTTGGTTGGGGAGATGGGTGTAGAAAGTTAAGGAGATTAAGGAGTCCAAGTTGCCAAGTCTAAGTCTCCAGGACGTAAAGCACAGCGCAGGGAACATAGTCGATAATATGCTAATAACTATGTATGGTGTGAGACGGGTACTAGACTTTTCGGGATGATCTCTTCTATGGACCTAAGAGACATCCAGACCTGTAGAGAATTTTAGAATTGTTTATTTGAGCCAAACTGATGACATATGCTGGGGAACGAGATCTCAAATGCTCCCAAGAGTAAGTTTTGTCACATCTGAAATTGAGGAGAATGGAAGATTACAGGAAGGTGAGAGAAAGCAAGGCATGCCGGGATTGGATTACAGGATAGTTAAGATTATTTGCTCTCTTGAGGGTGGTTATGTTTTAGAAAGAGGGATCCAGAAAGAGCCATTTCAAAGGTAGTTATCCTAGATACACAGAAACAATGGACAGCACTTGCTTAAGGCAAAGATAAGCCCTTTACTAAAGACTGATCTTCACATGCCTGAGGCGGGACTACCTACCATGACCCGCCCAGTCAGGAATTTATGACCCAGTCGCCCTGTGAGGTTACTTGCCATGGAAGCCCTTTTTTTCATCCACACTTCGTAAGGTACATAAATGTTGAATTGTTGTAGCCGCCAGCCCCCGAAAGACACACGGACCATCAGAAATCAGTGAGTTACAGGAAACACACTCTTTATTCAGCCAGCTGGGTCTGCCAGGGGTACGCAGACCCCAAATTAAGCAGCCCCGAAATGTAGAGGTACAGGGTTTTTAAGCCCTAAATCCCATTCCTAATTCTGTCTTAAACACAAAGGTCTATTTTTCTCCTATTCACTACCTGTCAACCCACAGGTCGGTTGTGCAAGCGGGGTACAGACGCGGAAAGCTTATTGTTAGAATGTGATGTTCCCATGGGCGACAGCCAAGCAGTAATTTTCCAGCCAGCACAGAATGACTATGTTGTATACCTGAAACTAACATGGCAATGTATGTCAACCGTAATTGAAAAATAAATTTTAAAAAAATTAAGTTAAAAAATGGGGGTGACTTCTGATTAGAAGCCCACTCCCATCCTTACGACAAGAGCTAGACAGAATGAAAATTAACAACACTTGGACCCATCAGAGAACTGCCACCCAAAACCTGGAGACACACAGCTGAGGTCTGCTTACCTGCGGCAGAAGCTGCGGGAGCCACAGCCTAGTGCTGGCGGCTGGGTGTGGCCTGGCTAGAGAGTCAGAAACTCCCTGGGGGCAGGGGCGACTTCTGTGGGCTTTACCACACCTTTACCCCTCACAGCAGGTCCTCAGGGTGAAGGCAAGGATCCCAGAGAGCTCCCCGGGGTGTCTGGCGGGGGGGAGGGGAAGAGCAATCTTGTGAACTCTGTGCAGAGCTCAGCGTAGCAGTGGCTGGGCAAGGCACCCATCCCACCCCAGCCCCTTCTAGCCTTTCTGCCAATCTAAGGGAAAGCATCAAGGCTACAGGAAGAGGACCGGATGTGCAGCTCGGGCAGGGAGAGAGGCTGCGGGGGGAGAGCGCTCACACGGGACCCGGGCTGAGGTTTACTGGGAGGGCTGCAGGACCCTCGCCCTCCCTGACACTCCACGCTGCACCAGCGGGACTCTGAACATCACTAAGGTGGGCTACAGCTGAAGAGCTACGAGACACAGACTCTGGGGAAGAGTCCATACTGAGAAAACCCCAAAGTCAAGTAGGCACATAAAAACAAGGACACTAGAACGTGAAGTCTCTGGCATGAGACTTCACTAAACATAGGCAAACCCCTGTTAGTTCCAACTACATGATACGACATGTCAGTCTTTCCAAAAAAAAAATACAAACCACAGCAAAAAACAAGGGGAAATATACTCCAAAGAGACAAAGCAATCATTATAACCTGACTCAGATGACACAGATTTGGGGATCAGAATTTAAAACATCTATAGCTAATATGTTAAGAGCGCAAATGGAAAAAGGCAACAGTCAAGAATAGTAGGCTAAGGTAAACAGAGAGATGGACACTACACTGAAGACAGTGTAACAGCGATGAAGATGCCTTCCATGGGCTCCGGGCAACAGACACGTCCCGAACTGAAACGCAGAAAGGAAAAAGCATGGAAAAAACAGAATATTCAAGAACCATGGGACAATTTCAAAAAGTATAATGTACACATTACTGGACTATCAGAAGAAAAGAGAGAAAAGGAAGCAGAAGAAATATTTGAAGTAGTAATGGCCACAAACTTTCCAAAATTAATGACAGACCCCAAGAAACTGAGAATACCAAGCAGATTAAATAACCCACAGAACTCTTACCTAGGTATCCCATATTCAGAAAGTCAAAAGACAAACAAAATCTTGAAAGAAGCCACAGGGAGGGAAAAACACCTCCTTCACAGAGGAAAAGAGTATAGTGAAATATTTAAAGTATAAAAGAAAAAAACCCACTACCTTACTACCTTAGAATTGTGTATTCACTGATATGAGCCAACAAAAGAGAAGGAAAAATAATGACCTTAGACACAAAACTAAGGGATTCAGCAGCAGCAGGCCTGCTCTGCATGAAATGTTAGAAGTCTTCAAGCAGAAAGGAAATGATACAGGTCAGAAACTTGGGTCTACACAAAGAAAGGGAGAACATCAAAGAAGGAATAAATGAAAATAAAACCTTTTCTTTCTCTTATTCTTAACTGATTATATAACTAAGTAATAAAAGTAACATACTGGGTGATCACGGCATATTGATAAGTGGCTAAATGACAGCAGAGTCACAGGAACGGGAGGGAGAAATCAGAACTACTTTACCAATGAGGACCCACACAACACGTCAAGCAATATTCCCTTAAGGCAGCGTCAGATTAGTTTAAAGTTTATATTGTAAACTCTGGGGCAACCACCAAAAAAAATTCTTTTATGTGCTATGTGGTTGTAGTGACCTCACCTTTAGAAACAATAGGTTAAGGATAAGACAGGGTTCGTGCTAACCGCCATGTCTCACTTCTAGTTAGTTATCTGCTAAAAATTTATTAACTAGAGGGATTTACTGGCCGGATCACTGCCTATAGGTACAAAATATTTTAACAATGACGCATTCTGCTTCTGTACCCCTGCTTGCTTACCCACCTCTTAGTTATCAGTTACTGAATGGAGGAGATATAGTCTTTTGTGTAAAAATTAAGGATGTGGGGGATGGAATCGAGGGCTTAAAACCTTTGTGCCCCTCCACCTCGAGGCTGCTCCTTGGCAAGGACACCCGCCGGCTAATAAACTGTCTCTTGGATTAGAGCACTCGAGTTGGGCCTGGTTATTTCGGTCACAACAGTGGTAGGTGGAATAATGGTCCCCCAGGAGTATCCACATCCTAATCCCCACAATTAAGGTGGCAGGTAGAATCAGGGTTGCTAATCACCTACCCTTAAAATACAGAGATGACCCTGGATTACCTAGATGGGCCCAATGTAATCGCAGGGTCCTTAAATGGGGACGAGGGAGGCAAGAGGAGATGAGAACGATGCAATGTGAGAGGAGCCCCGCCCCTACCACTGGCCCTGAAGACGGAGGGAGGAGGCCTGGATGGCCCCCACAGCCTCCAGAAAGTGACGCAGGCCTGCCAACACCCCGAGCTTAGCCCACAGAGACCCGTTTCAAACCTGACTTCTAAAACCTAGGATAATAAGCTGTGCTGCTTTACAACACTAGGTTTGGTAATTTTGTTACAGCAGCAATAGGAAACTAATAAATGCTAAGAGAGGAGATAAAACTGAATCATATAAAATGGCCAATTAAAAAGAAACGAAGGAAAAAGCAAAGAATACAAAAGAGTTACAGACATGGAACGATAGCAACCCAAGTATATGAATAGTCACTGCACATGTCAGTGGTCTAAATACACCAATCAGCAGAGATTGTCACGATGGACAAAACAAGATCCAACTTTATGTTGTCTATAAGCAACTTTAAAGACTTAGTTAGACACATTCAAAGTAAAAGCACTGAAAGATACACCATGCTAACACCAACCAAAAAAAAGCCGGAATAAGTATATTAATTAAAAAAATAAAATAAAGCAGACTTTGATAATCAGGGATAAGGAGCGTCACTGAATGATAAAAGGCCAATTCTCCAAGAAGACATAATAATCTTGAATGTGTAAGTACCTCCCAAGTGGGTATCAAAACATATGAAGCAAAAAACGGAAAAACGAAGAGAAAGACAAATCCACTATTATAGTTGCAAATTTAAAAACACTGTCATTAATTGATCAATCAAGCACATAAAAAATCAGTAAGGAAATAGATGACCCGAACAATATTATCAATTCAATCTAATTGATATTTATGGAAAACTCCATCCAACAACAGCTGAATGCACATTCTTTTCTAGCCCACACTCACCAATGCGCACCACATTCTGGGCCATAAAACACACTTTTTAACAGACTTCAAAGATTAGAAATCACATAAAGTATGTTTTCAGACACAATGAAATTAAACTAGAAATCAGTAACAGAAAGCTAAAAAAACCCCTCAGATATCTGGGAATTAAACAGTTTCAAAAGAAATTTAAAAATACTTTGAACTAAATGAAAATATAACTTGTAGGATGCAGCAAAAACAACTTATAAGGAAATTTACAGCATTAAATGCATATATTAGAAAAGATCTAAAATCAATAACCTAAGCTCCCACCTTAGAAAACCAGAAAAAGAATTGCAATTTAAGCCTAAGGCTACCAGAAGAAAATAATAAAAATTAGACAGAAGCCAGTAATACTGAAAACATGAAAATAAGAAAAACCAATGAAACCAAAGCTAGTTCTTTTAAAAGACCAATAAAATTAATAAATCTCTAGGTAGGCTACCCACCAATACCTCCTCTCCACCTCCCAAAAAGGAGAGGTCACGAATCACCAATATCGGAAATGAAGGACAGAACATCATTACTGTTCATGTGGACATTAAAAGGATAATAAATACTACAAACAACTCTATGCCTACAAATATAAGATAAAATGGACCAGTTCCTTGAAACTACCAAAACTAATACACAAAACCCCGCACACAGATGTTTACAGCAACTTTAACTCACAACTGCCAAAACTTGGAAGCAACCAAAATGTCCCCAAAAGGTGAATGGATAAACAAACTGCGATACAACCAGACAACTGAATATTAGTCTGCAAAAAGGAAAGAAGGAAGAAGTAGAGAGGGAGGGA